AGATGGACGGAACAGACGGCAGTGCCGGGCCCGGCCCCGCCGAGCGGTCCCATCGAAGCAGTGTGTCCTCCGTGGGAGCCCGAGGTGGGTTCCTGCACCCATCTCCCCGCTGTCCCCTTCTAGGGCCCCAGCCCGGAAGGGTGGCCCTGGCTCCTCATCTGCTCCATTAAAGAGAATCTGTGTTAATTAACAAATAAGATACGTCGAGGTGTGGAAAAGTGACCCAAGTCTATCGGAGGTCCTGGGTACTTTTACTAGGCTACAAGTTGGGTACTCTTTTTTGTTTTGTTTTGTTTTTAAGTATATTTTTATTGATTTCAGAGAGGAAGGGGGAGCGAGAGAGATAGAAGCATCAATGATGAGAATCATTGATCAGCTGCCTCCTGCACGCCCCCCCGTCGTGGGTGAGCCCACAACCTGGGCATGTGCCCTTGACTGGAATCGAACCCGGGACCCTCCAGTCCAGCAGCCGACAGGCCGACGTTCTAATCACTGAGCCAAACCAGCTAGGGCTGGGTACTCTTTCTAAAAAAAATTTTTTTAATTGATTTTTAGAGAGAAAGAGACATTGATTTGTTGTTCCACTTATTGATGCATTCATTGTATGTGCCCTTACTGGAATCAAACCCACAACCGTGGCATATCAGGATGCCACTCCAACTGTGCTCCTTGGCCAGGTCCGGTGCTTTACCGGAATCTCCCTTTCCTCCTTTGTAAAATGAGCTTGTCACACGTAGCTGTGAAATTCAAGTCTTATGAATGAAAAGTGACACCCTCACTTTCTTTGTGGGATTTCTTTCACACAAACACCCTTTTGAAAGCAGGGGTCATTATTTTCATCTTATAGGAAGGAAACTGGGCCCTGGGGAGGTTGTGTCACAGGAAACCAGAGCCTTCGGTGCCTTGGTTTTCCCTGCCTGAAACGTGGGTCTGAAACTCAGCCTCCTGGAGATTATTTTATGATTCCCCAAGAAAGTAAAGGGTGTCCCAAAATTCACGCAAGAAGTAATTTTGATAGAAAACAGGTTTATAATGAAAAATTGTAAATTTTTTATTGATTCATAAAGTATACAGTATAGGGTTATGTATGGAGTAACATATTGGGTAAATGGATTGCTGTGCGTGGTCAGTAGGCTTCAGTTCTTGAGTCAGTTGAACTTTGTAAACATGAAGATGCAGATCTTTCGTGAGAATACGCTGTAGAGAGCTTCTCGAAATGTCCAGTTCTTGACCACGGTGCCGAATTGATGTCCCTGGACTCTCAGCTACACTCTCACGAGCTGCTTCGATGTTTGTGTTGAATGACTTGTTGAAGGACGGCCAGAGTGTGTAAGATCACTGATTGATCCAGCCTCCCTAAATGTTTTAATTAATCTCTTCACAGTTGATGAAGTTAAATCACTATCCCGACCATATTTTGCACGAAAATTGCAACTGTAGCTGCCAAACCTTCATTATTTTTAAAATATTGCTCAACAATGACAGTGCGTTGTTCTTTCGTGTAGCGCTCCATTTTTAACAACCCTGAACTGTCAGCTGTCATGCTACATTTTTTTTCATTGGCAACACTTTACGGCACAAATGGCGTAAAATTCAAATCTTGCGTGAATTTTGGGACACCCTTTAGCTGCTGCCTCCAGCGTGGCTCGGTGGTTGAGTATTGACCTATGAACCAGAAGGTCACAGTTCCGATTCCTGGTCAGCGCACATGCCGGGGTTTCGGGCTTGATCCCCAGTAGGGGGCGTGCAGGAGGCAGCGGATCTATGATTCTCATCATCGATGTTTCTATCTTTTCCTCTCCCTTCCTCTCTGAAATCAATAAAAATACTTTTTTTTTTTTTTTAAAGAAAGTAGCTGTTGGGGAACAGACTGGGGATCTAAAAAGCACCTTCCCTTGTATTAATGATAAGCTACGCCCTCACCTTTCACAGGCTTCAACTCCACTCTTTGATTCACAGCCACTCTTTGAGGGAGGGGTCTTAGCTTTACGGGTGAGGCAGCCTAACTCACACTGACCTGCCGAAGTCAGCCAGCTAGCCAGGAGCCAGCCGAGGACTTGAACCGGAATATACTGGCCTCCACGCTCAGTGCTCCTTCAGGGCTGCGGTTCCAGGGATGGGGGTTTGCATCTGGCTGCTCTTCCAAGGGTCTCCCTGTGGCTCTGGGCTCCAAATAGGAATCCCAGAGGCTGTCACAGGGAAGGCTCAACTCCTTCCCCTGGCCTATCCTGAAAGCCATGGTATTGCGTTCTGAGCCTTGAAGAGTTCAAAGGGAGCTGAGCCCTGGGTCTTGCTTTGCCCTCGGCTGGCCTTGAATCCTCAGCTCCCATCTTAGCCTGGGCCAGAGAGAGACAGCAACTTGCCTTAGGACAGTGGTTCTCAACCTTGGCTGCACATTCGAATGAGGCCCAGAAATCAAGAGTTTAAAAAGATTCTCAGGTGATTCTAATGTGCAGCCAAGGTTGAGAACCACTGCCCCAGGATACTAGTGGGTCCCCAGCTCTCCCCCTCCCAACCTGATATACCAACTGCTATAAATCTGATGGATTAAGCCCATCTGCCTCCATCCCCACCGTTGTTCTCCTTCATGGAGGAAGCACAGAACAGCCCTTGGGGCTGCCAGGGGAGTTGTGTGGCCAGCCCTAATTTGAACCTTCGGGGCTAGTTAGGGACCAGTCCCCGGGGCAGAGTTGCTGGGTTTCTGGGTGGTTTGAGCATCTTGAATAAATCGTAACAATTCTTCACAGGGTCCTTCAGGGACTCTGTCTCTGGAGTGTAGCCTAGGTCACCCAAGGGTGTAGAGTGGGGGCTCCAGCCCCAGTGGGACAGGCCTGTGCCTGAGCACTGGCCCCGCTGACCCTGCCTGGCTTCCCCTGCAGCAGCTGACGTGCTGGTGTATCTGGCGGATGACACTGTGGTGCCCCTGGCAGTGGAGAACCTGCCGTCTCTCAGTGCCCACGAGCTGCACCGCGCCATCCGGGAGGTCCTGCAGCTCCCGGACATTGCCCTGGAGGTCTTCGCGCTCTGGCTGGTGTCCCCTCTGCTGGGTAAGGCTTGGCAACGAGAAGCCCAGGCGGGGAGGTTGGAAGGTTGCTGATCAGCTTCCAGAACCTGTGGCCACTGTTCCTCAGGGAAAGGCGGGACTTGTGTGGGTCCTGGAGCTGTCTGTCCACCCTTCTGAGGGCCCAGAGCCCTGAGAGGATGCCTGGCTCCTCTGCCCCCACCTCCTTTCTGCTGGTGGCAGAGGAGGGGCCGAGCTGCTCGCAGCCTGAGCAGTCTGGAGCCTGGGGCAGGAGGAGTAGGGCTAGGAGACAGGGAGGGAAGTGGCCTGCACGCCCCGAGCACATGGTCTGTGCCGCCACCTGAGCTGGCATTTCGTGAGCAGAGTTTCACCTTATCCTCGTGGCCCAGATTGAGGTTTGGGGCGGTGGGACCAGCGAGAGGTAGGAACAAGGTCAGAACAGAGGCCTGGGTGGCCCACAGCTGACCTCTTTGAACTGCATCTGCTCTTGAGGGCAGGGAGGAGGGTGGTACCCAGCCTGGCAGCTGCCACCGCTGACGACGAAACTTTCCCTGAGCGGGGGAAGGCAGGCCGAGTGGGAGCTGACTTCGGTTTCTGGCCTGTGACCACCAGTGTCCTGCCTTTTCAGGCTGAGGTTCCCAGGGCGGGGATGACATGGGATTGAGGGCAGTGGCTCCCCAGACCCTCAGGCCTGAGAGGGGGGGCTGGGGGTTCCCTGGGGCCTCTGAATAGGGCCTCCAGCCTCCAGGCTTGGACAGGGGGAGGCCCAGGGGAAGGAAGCACCCCAGCTGGAGCCAGGGCCAGGCATGTTTTCTGAGCTTAAACTTTCTCTTTCCTTATAGAGGAATAGGGACAAGAAGGGGTGACTGGTGGGGGTTGGGGGGGACACATAGGTAATACCTTAATCAATAAAGAAAAAAAGAAGGGGGTGACTGATCCCTGGGGTCCCTAGTGGTTGGGGTTTGTGCCTCTCCCCTGGCAGGGGTCAGCTAGCCTGGTGGGAAAGTGGGTGCCTGTCCCTCCCCCCGCCCAGCAGTTGAAGCTTCCTGCCCAG